CACATCTGCGCATTTAATGTATGCATAGTATAAATATTGTGCATTACATGCATGCATGCATGGCAGACGTGATATCACGTACATCAAACGTCTATTTTTTTTCGTATTAGAGCAAGTACATACCGACAAACGCTTAAACACACTCACGCATACTTACATATATATAAATATATATATATATATATATATATATATATATATCCGATATATATTTACATGCCCATTGTATTATTCGCAGGGCAGGTTGCAACGAGCATAACTTCGCCAGTAGGACAGAGTGTTTCAGGTGCAACGCCCCGAAGGAACCTGGGAGTAAACCTTCATATTGATTTCCTGCATGGTAATACAATATCAAATTTTTGTACATTCACACACAGTTTTTAGTTATTTGTGACATTACACATTAGGGATCATGTTAATTATCAGTAATTAGAGCCAAAATTTTCCGAGACCCCTCGTTTATTCTAGGTATACAGTAAATGGATGAATTCCAAGATATGGATATACATGATATATGTATATATATTTTATTATTTAAACTAAGAGATATTCTTATACGTTACACTCACATGACATTACGTATATAGCGAAAGATTTTTTTTTTGGTAACCGGTGTTATGGGCCGAGACCTATATTAATCTCGGGATCGGGAGCAAGCAATATATATGCTTGAAATTATATTTTCCTCCCCAATTTGAGGCTCGAACTCGGGCATCGTACAAAGCGAAACTTAGCACCAAGTCAAACCCTTTTTTTTACGGTATTTTCCTCGAGTTACCTATATTTAAACCATTGGAAAAAATTTGTTGCTTATTATAATTATGTTTTACTTGACATGCTTATATATTATACGGTACTAATATTTGCAATCTTGTTTGTTTTGAAACTCAGGCTGGTCGGCTAAGGACAAATCAGAAGAGAACTTATAAACTGCAGCATCTACTCAATCTGTCGTTATTTCGTTTTTGTTTTAGATTTTATCAGTCTTAGATGTTTCCCGTATCGATCTTTGTATGAGTTCATATTCTGTAGACGTTTCGTTGGAATGCTATCAGATTTATGTTGTCGAACATATTGACAAACTCTTTTCCTTAATTTATAGTATGCAAGTTTGAGGCTTTCAACGGCGACTATGGTTATAAAAAGAAATTGAAATTTCTGGGTTTCTTTTGTAATTGTTATGATTATTCGAAATGTGTGCGTGGACCACACAAGCACCTTTTGTTCAAAACAATGCAAATTTAAGAAAAGGTGGAACATATCAATTCGAAATGTTTAGGAATTCGGGAAAAAAAAGAAAGAAATGTTTAGGAAATTGTATGTATATGTTTTGAAATATAGGATATGGACGAGATTTCTGTAATAATTACGTATGCAATGAGATAATTTAGTTGGCACTTACGGAGAGTAGTGGTTGGACATTGTCATCGGTCTATATACTACCTTCAAAACATTGTTACAGTTGACATAATAATCATTTAATAATGATAATTAAACATTTCGTATATACGTGGGCCAATAACACAATTTAAATTATTACAAGGAAACGATTCCATTTCTCCGTGCAACCGGAATCATATAAAGGAATACATGGATCTTTAATTCTGTTTAATAATTAAAGATGGAATGTTAGAAAACCAATTTTTTTTTGTATAATATTTTCATTTGTATATAGATTTTTTGAATCTAATACAAACATTTCCGATTTTTGCCACACGTATAATTATGTGTACTAATTAGGTTATTTGTGATTAACAAATAATGAGATATAAACTTCTACAGAAATGGTATTATATAATATATGTAATATTCTTAGAAAGGCATAAACGTCTGATTTCTGAACCTCATGTTCCTCATAATTATACACAATGAGGTCTAGTTAGAGTAAATTAATTTGATATTATGTATGTAGTATATTGATGTTGACTATTATTCTTAATTGTATAAGTATGTATGTAGTATATGCGCATACATCGACACATACACATACACGTATGTATGTATGTATGTATGTATGTATGTATTTGGCATAGGATTCCTCGTTCATTGACCTCTTGCGGCTGTGCTTACGATTATTATCAAAGGGTCAAAAAAGAACTCAAAACTTCTTTAATGTCTGCTACTATAATCCATTACTTAGCTTTTAGCAAACGAATCTTTTGTTCTCTTTACTAATAAATATAAAACTTTATCTGTAATTTTGTTCTTTTTCTTCACTTTAGGATTTAGCCCTCTTCAAGTTTTTTTTTTTGATAACTAGGATGGTTCTTCGGACCTTCGTTCCAATCCTAGACCCGTGACCAACCTTTGTATATGGACCATTTTGGTCCAGAAATTACATCCCTTCCCACCAATGGAATCGAATCCAGGACCTTGAGGATGACTTTGTCACATCTCAACCATTGGACCACCAATTGTTGGGTAACCCTCTTCAAATTCATTCATTATTTGATTCCTCTTTGATTTTGGTGAAGTTAAAGTATAGTTAATATATATACATGTATATACATATACCCTGAAATTTGTGAAAATAGTCGAATTTGAAACCTTATTATTATTATTATTATTATTATTATTATTATTATTATTATTATTTTGTAGAGTAATAGCTATATATAATACCATTTATTCGAATATCTTTAAGGTATTCAATTTATTATGGATATTTAGATCTCTTAAGATATTAAAATGTCATATAATGTCGAATATGTGATAAATTGGTAGGACAAAAAACTTAGAACCCGTAAGTTATTTTCGCCACCATTCTTCCTTTAAGAAAATAAAATACTAGAATTCCGGTAACTTTTAGTAAATTGTAAATAGAATTTTGGTATTTTAGCAAATGATATTTTCATTCCAAGAAACAAAAAGCCACATTTTTTAAATGAATTTCAATTGGACATATATATAAAATGAGAAAATTCATGTTGAATTTGTTACGTCGACCCTCCTATGAACTATATATATTGTGTTTTTTTTATGTCGGTAATTATAATCACAAAGAGGGGAGAGCCGTGCATGATGATGGTCCTTCGAGTATGACGGATACCGACCACTCGTTAAATGGAAGATATTGGTGATTAAGTACAATACTATTGGAGTCAATATTTGTAAGAAAAGCAATAGCAAAGACAACTTTTTTATCCATTTCATAGACACACCCTTTAATAAAATAATAAAATAAAATGGTAAAAATTTTTTATAAGAGAAAATGGCAGTAACTTTTATAAAAGTTTTAAAATTTTTCTTTAAACCAACGAAAAAGAGAGCATATTCATCTTTATAAAACCTTTTCTTTTTTCTCTTCCTTATCTTTCGTTTGATTTTTTTTTTTAATGGTGCACCCTACGTTCCCCCTTTTAACTTGTGTCTTTTACAAAGCATGCATTTGACATTGGTGGAGCATATAATGTCTTGTATATAATTTTTTATTTTGTGTTGGTAGGCGCATAGTGTAATGTATATTAAATTTCATGAAGAGAAAATCATATATTATATAGGACTAGTATGCATTATTCATTCATACGGAAGAAAGGTTTTTGTTTGGCAGGGCGGGAAACAAAATGAACTAAGTATGATTAGTATATATGCATATTTATTTTTGTTTTTGAGACTATATATATAAGCAAAATGATTTGAAAATATTCACTTATTTGCCTTAGTTATAAGTTACAGGAGTTTATATACAAATCAATGTGAGCCCATATATATATTAGAAACTTGTGAACTAATCAAATTAAATAGAAGCATATTTTTCTTTATGTGATATCTTGCTAATGTGCCCTGCAAGTTGGGGGCGGATGAGAGGCCAAGCTTAAGACGAAGAAGGTCAAAGCATGTGCGCGGTAATGGCTTCGTAAGAGTGTTGATGAGCTGATCATTCGAAGGAATGGGAGAAACGCGGAGCCTGCAAGCATGAACGATGCCACATATATAGTGATGATCAATAGCAATGTGATTCATTCGGGAATGAAAGCCTGAACTTATGTGAAAGATGATGTATGTATTTAGATAACTTGTTAACGACAAAAGCAATATCCAGTCAAATAAATAGGATATACTGAAAACTGCCAAAAATTTGTTCGAATTCGGATGGATTGTCAAGAGGAATCTTGAAAGTGGTCGGGAGTATCGTTGTGGAGACCATGGGCGTAGGAACCGATTTTTCACCTTACATCATATGCCTCATGAGAATGTTTGTGATGTATCGTTGTTGAGTCAGTAAAACTCCATTTTACGTGTTAGTGACTTCACCGCTGAAAAAGTATGACAGGTAATTAAAATCCTCGATCGAAAATCGAGCATCAAAAAGATCAGTGAACTTCTGAATCTCAGTTGGATGACTCCCACTGATGATCATGTCATTCACATATACCAACAAGTAGACTGTGATATCACCATGATGGAAAATAAAGAGATAGGTATCGGAAAGAGAGTTCATGAACTCAATTTGAACGAGAAATCGACAAAGCTCATTGTACACGCTCTTAGAGGTTACACCATGTAGACATCTTCTTGAAAAGAACCGTACAATAAGATATTGTTGACATCATGTTGCTGGAGGTTCTAACCACATGATATAACAAGACTTAAAAAAACTCGTATGGTGTCCAACTTGATAACTAGACCAAACGTGTCGGTGTAGTAGTGAAATCATTTTGCAATCAGACAAGCCTTATATATGTTAACAGAGTCATAGAGACGTTTAGTGCGAAACATCCAATTACAACCCACAATAATATACGACTAGTCCGACGGAACAAGACTCGATGTGTCATTACGAAGTAAGACATTAAACTCTTCAGCTCCATGCCACTTGGGATCTTTAAAAGCTTATGAAACACATGTAGGTTCTATATCATGAGTGGTGGATAAAGATGTGCTTAGAAAAAGTTTGGTTATCAGTTTGGTGATTTTGATTTTGGAACGTGCTGTCATGCGGTAACTGTTTTGTGGTATGGCGGGTTCCAATTCTGATCGTGTTTCAGATTCATTGGAGACAAGTAGTGTTGGCATGTGAGACTTGGTAATTTAGTGACTTAAGTCGATCTGATTCGGTGGGAAAATTTGGCGGGTTAGAGTTTGCTTAAACGTTGCAAGTCATTGAGTGTGTGGTTATGAGGTGGTGGATGGCAATAGTGTTACTGTTGAGATATACCGGATCTTGAAGAATATTACGAGATATATCGTATATTGGAGAGGTTATCAAATCCGGAAAATATATATTTAGAAATATTTATTATTATGTCTACTTTACTTATTCAATGTAAGACTCTCATCTATTTATATGTTATTTTGATTATCAATAAAACATATCATTTCACAAATTTTTACATGGTATCAGAGCTTCTGGTTCTTTTCTAATTTGTTATCCTTTTTATAAAAATGATGATCAATAATGAGAGTGAAGATGAAGATGATGATATACCGATCCAGTGGTAGTATCATTTCGAGTTTTTTTATTAAGAATAAGAGAGTCATTTTATTTTTGTTTTTTTATTTTCTCTCATAATCCCACATGTTTCTAAAGATTATTCGCATAACCGCCAATCATCTTATTCTTGCCAAAAAAATTTGTTGTCTTTAAACGCTTTCGCGTAGTTGCCTTTCAATCTCGGATGAATCAGAGTTATTCGCGAGACTTCTTTCTGCACCGCGATTGTCGTCCTTTTTTTTGTTATCGCCAAACGATTCTTTTGTGCGTGGTGCCAAAGTTGCAGTGTAGTCGTTTGTTTGATTTTTTTTAGTTGTCTTCTATCGACACAAGTTCGCAAGGTGATATGGTTCAAGCGCCATGCGCTTGATCATCTTTTCAGCAAGTTGGGCGTTTCGTGATCTTCCACGCTCGAACTTGAAGGGGGATGTTGAGATATACCGGATCTTGAAGAATATTACGAGATATATCGTATATTGGAGATCTTATCAAATCCGGAAAATATATATTTAGAAATATTTATTATTATGTCTACTTTACTTATTCAATGTAAGACTCTCATCTATTTTTATTTTGATTATCAATAAAACACATCATTCTGCAAATTTCTACAGTTACTAACGAAGAAAGAGCTGAACAAAGGGGTATTGATGACGACAACGATGTGGACAACCAACTTGGAACATGAGT